CCCCCCCCACCCACCCCCCCCCCCCCTCCCAGCTTCCTCGCGTCACCCCGGCTCCCCTTTTCTCTCAGCGGCCGCCCGGGCCCGGCCATGGCGGACTTTGACGAGATCTACGAAGAGGAGGAGGACGAGGAGCGGGCGCTGGAGGAGCAGCTCCTCAAGTATTCCCCCGACCCGGTGGTGGTGCGCGGCTCCGGCCATGTCACCGTGTAAGGGCCGCGGCGGGGCCTGCGCGGCCGGGGCGGGCGGTGGAGGTGGTGGTGGAGGAGGAGGAGGCCCGGGCGGCGGCGGGCCGGGGGTGGCTGCGGCCGGGGACAGCCCAGGTGGCGGTCACAGCCTGGGGAGGGCGAGGGGAGCAGCGGGTGCTCGTCCCCCAGCTTCCCCCGGTGAGAGGGCTCTGCTGGGCCCCCCCCGGGAGGCTGGGTGCCGGCTGGGAGTCGCCAGCGGGTGCAAAGCTGTAAGGAGGCGGTGGGGAAACAAGGGCTGAGTTGGGCTGTGACTGGCAGAGGAATGTGAAGTATTTGTCCAAAGGGATGAGCTGTCAGGAAGTAAGGTGCCTGTGTATAACAGTATGTGCCAGCACATGACCGGCCGGGCTGTTGCTGGGGGGTTGTTTATGTACCCGGTGCCCGCTTCTGTTTAACGTGTTTAACGTCTAATATAGCTCTGAGGGCTTTTAAGAAAGAAAAGGCCTCCCTCAGTTAGACAGGTGCGTGTAACATCCTGTTAAGTTGTGATTGACGCGCGCTGTTTCACTGTGCTTAGGATGGGAGTGACTGTGGGTTTTGTTTTGTGAATGTTTGGTGTCTCTAAACAATTCAGCAGCAAGCAACCGTGATTTAATGTAGCACTTCTCAATAATGGAACAGATGAGGGTATCTTTCCTTCAGTCGGTTCTGTCAGGCACGCTCTGCTGAAGTGTTGTGGTTGTCAGTTGTGATGTGCGCTTTCAGAGGCTGAAATATCAACCTGGAGACAAAACACAGCAGTGCAAACTTTTTTTTGAGTATTCGCTGTTCAGCAGGACTAGGTTCGCAATAGAAGGGTAAAGCTTGAGGGTCTTGTGGTCTATTGCTCTGAGTCTATTGAGGTCTGTTGCTTCTCTTGCTTTGGCAGGGGTTTGGACTAGATAATCTCCAAAGGTCCCTTCCAAGCCCTGCCATTCTGCGGGTCCCATGAACTCTACTGATTTTCAGATACTGACCTTTTGTGACACTTTAGTACATTACTGCTTTAACATTTGGCTGATGTTAAGTAATACTAACAACCAGGCAGTGCAGTTTGCTGTCTGGTTAAAAATGGGAAGTAAGGCACGATAGACTGAAGAGAGGGTTGGAAGGAGATGGATGGGCAGGAGGCTGAGAAGGCCCAATGAAGGAGCAGAAGTATGTAGTCAAAGTGTTCAGCATATGACACTATTTATTGTGAACAGAAGTTGCTCTCTGAAAATAAACCGGTAGCCTTAGCCCGTTTCTGGTAAGCATATCAAAACCACAATTAGACATTTCTCATATTGGCAAATGCAAAAGTATAAAGAACTGAAACAGAGGCAAACACTTGTTTCTTCTCCAATATGAGAAGGTAAGTTGGGCAAGACAAGATCAAGGCCCGTTAGTGGAATTGTGAGGAAGCTTGTGTGTCTGTGACTAGTAAGGGCGTTGTGGTCGAAGAAGGATGATTGCCTCATTAATTGTTCATTAATGGTGACTAGCTCATTATTATTGTAAGATCTTCCTTAAAATATTTGTTCTTCAGGTTTTGGATGAGCAATGAAATATGAACATGTACCTGCAAAATTAGGCAACTGATCTTCATCTGCTTGCTTTATCACACCAGGTGTGAACAGTTCATTGAACAGCATCAGCTACTTTTGCCTTTGTACAGCCTATAACTCTTTTTTGTCATTAATTGAGAAGCTTATTATTAAAAGTTAAATCACTGCCACAATATTCACTTAGTAGATTTAAGGAATGGGTCAAGTCCTGTGTATATAATTAATTACTCTGGCCTGATATAAAAGCATGTATGCGTTTTGAAGGCCTGACAAAAATTATTAGTGGTTAAGCAAATACTGAATTGGTCTGTGCCTGGCTCTGCAGTTTAAAGAGTTGCTGACTGCTTCTGCCGTGTGTGTATTTAAACAGAAGCTCTGTTTTCATAGTCTATTGTCATATCCTCTCTGATCTTACACAGGAGTCATAATGTTGAGTTTGAAATATGCCATTTCCATGACTACAGATTAATGTCAGAAAAGCATTTACTATTACCTGATTTCATCCAACAGACAGTGGAAGTGTTTGAGAGTCCTTTCTAAGCCCTGTAGTTGAAAGTGATTAAAGGAAAACAGGTAAATATTATCCAAATAAAACATACAAAGGCCTTGCCTTTCCAGGGTGTGGGACTTTTGTTTAGCACTAAGAGTTTTCTTCTTAAACTCACTGTTTGGGGCATGCTGCACACAATTCTAAAACTCCCTTTCTAAACATTTTTTTAAAAATAGTCAGTTAAATTTTTTTCACACCAACAGAGTTTGGTAGTCAGGAATAATATTTGACCTGGTCTCTGATTACTTGAGGTGATCTCTTCTACTGGCAAGAAACTTGAAAGCTGAGAAAATATAGAACTTTACTTAGAACTGATTTGAAAGTCCAAGGTATTTCCTGTTCGTTTCTGAAATCATACTAGGTCAGAAAGAGAGGTATATGATGAGTTTGATACAGAGTGAACATGTGAAAACAGAGCTGTGTAAGAATTATGGATGGAGAGCCTTAAGATTTGTGGAATGTGTATTTATTTTGTGAGGGTTGTGAACATGTGGAACTAAAGAGTCTGGTTGAGAGCAAAGAAAAAATGGTTTCATGTCCCCATAAGAGAGGACAAAGAGGAAGAGCATAGTGTGTACGTGTGTGTTGGTTCTATGTTTTAGGAAGGTCTGAGCTGGAGACTGAGGAAAGGTTGCAGGTTGGCTGTGTCCTATACTGTAAACTTCTGTGCTTTGAAGTTGCCACCTCTCACCATTCTTTCCTCGCTGTACACAAGGGCAGGAACTCAGCTGAGCCTTTCAAGCAGGGTCACGTTCAAGAAACGTTTTTTCAGGTGCCAGGAAGGTTAAAGAAAGTACTCATGCATGAGGTGAGCGTGGATCTGTTGAAGACATGATGTAGAATGGGAAAGGCATAGAGCAAGCAGAGAAGAGTACGTGTCACTGAAGATGGAGTATTGTACAAAAGAAATCTAGTGTTCTGTGAGGACAGCTGTCTGAGGAAATGCATCTCCAAAATACTGATCTCCAGTGTTTGATTTTTAAGACACGTCTTGCTGCTTTTTTTGTCAGAGCAGTTGTGTCTTTACAGTGAATGAGTCTGGAGTTTCTAATATTTTAATTTCCAAATCGCAGTATGCAGTCAAGAGTGATAATACTGAGATCCCGTAATTATGTACCAAAGCTTTCAACGTATGTGGTCACCCTTTTTTACTACCTGTGTATGCAGACAAAAGTGTATTATGGGAAGTTCAGAATGATGTTCGTAGTTGGTTGAGTTAGCTTTGATGTTTCAGTTTTGCTACCCCACCGCATATTAACCATTGCCACAAGCCTTGCGTAGAGACTCTGTCTCATTTGCTTATAACTTCACCAAAGTGTAAGTGTATTGGTCAGAAGTTTCTGTGCCTCGCTATGTCTCAGTGTGTTTATAAATTCAGATACCTCTAGAGCTTTGTGGTTGCAGGTGTCTGTCAGACATGGCTTTTGCAGCCTCCTTTTGAAACCTTTTTTTATTTCTTGCAACAAGAGCTGCTTTGGACAGGACTAGCTTTGTAGTTGGCCACTCACTTATTGCTCAAATTTATATTTAATTCCATTATTCATAGTGAATCTCTTATGGATGTTGAAGCATCAAGTATACAAAGATCATTTTTTGAAGAGAAGTCTCTTTCAGACATCTGTCTCTGGTGTTAATTTGATGAATTAATTATATAGTAAAGTAGTGTTACCTTTTATTTTTGAGACTTCTGATAGCAGCTGTGTATCTTGAGTTTGGAGTCCTTCTCCAGGATTGGCTGCTTATGAAATATATAGGGATCCAAGGGATTTTTTCAGGCTTTGGTTCCCACTTCAGCCTACTGGCAATTTTAAGTAGCTTAACTGTCAGGGCATGACACTTCTTTCTGACTTTTACATAACTTTTGTTTCAGCAGTTGGTTTTACTTGGGATTTGGGGAGAAAGGTGGATGGTCCTCCTGTTGTGGAATATTCAACAGCTTTTTAAATGGTAGAAATAAGTTTCCAATAAGTATAGGTTTTCTTTGTTCTTGTTGAACTGGTAAACTTGACATACATTTCTCTGGCTAACAATTTTCATTTGTTACTTCACCAGTTTTGAGGGATTTGTAGGAGTTGAAGAGCTACTATTTTAATTTCAAATACTCAAATATACTAGGTAACTTATGTCTAAGCAAGCTCAGTAGGGGAGACCTTATTGCAGCCTTTCAATATGTAAAGGAGGCTTATAAGAAAGATGGAGAATGACTTTTTACTAGGGCCTGTAGTGACAGGACAAGGTGCGGTGGTTTTAATCAGAAGGGGGTACATTAAGAGTGGATATAAGGAAGAATTCTTTTTATGGTAAGGAGACAGTGGAACAGATTGGCCAAGAGAAGTTGTGGATGCTCCATTATTGGAAGTGATCTGGTTGTAAAGGGTGCTGAGCAACCGGGTCTAGTGGAAGACGTCTCTGCCCATGATGGAGGAGTTGGACTAGGTGGACTTTGACGGTTGCTTTCAACAGAAATCATTGTGTTTCTATGCTCCTACTGCCTGCAGTCAATGATAGGGAGATGACTTGTTTACTTTTCCTTAAGCCCACATGTAAAAATCACCTGCAGTGTCAAATTCATAAACTATCTAGCTCAGTGTGCTCTTTGCAAACTGTAGCAACAGGCATTGCCACTTATGGGTTGTATGCAAGTCTAGCTGTTCCTGGTGTCCATTCTCTTTGTACGATCTGTGGTTGTGCGAGGTGACATACGAGCGCAATATTTCTTCAGATCTGTTGGTGCAGTCTGTGTCACTAACCTCAAGTGAAAACAAACCCAGAAGTTTCTTACTTGCAGCTTAAAGGAGTGCTTTCTTCTATCTGTTTTAAAGCAATCTCTGACTAGTTTCAGTGAGTACCCTCTGTTGTGGGCTTTGGTGAGTAGCAGTTAATCA